GCCAGCCTTATGCTTCTCTGAGCACTCTAATGAGGAGTTTGTTTTGCTGGTTTAGGGTATTCAGCTGAATGCTCTCCTGGTGGTTACTGCCCAAAGTTAGGGAGCTTGAACAGATACCTGTGCGTCCGGGYAGCCTTTCCTCACACTGCAGTGTCTTAGCTTAGCTGCTCGACGAAACTGGCCCAGATGAGCACTGAGATGGACACAGGGACGTTCAGATGTTCTGCTGCACTGCCCAGAGCCCAAACAGTAACCCTGGTTAGGAGAGTTAGGACAGTGCATGTTAGGACATCTTGAGCTGTACCCTACAGGAGAGACCTTGAAGTATCTTCAATCCTGCATGAAATMTAACTCTCTAAATTAGGATACTGACTAGTCTAGCACAACTTGCTCCACGTAACTCATCTAAGCTGGAGAAAAAGCAGACTTCACCTTGCCCACCACAGAGGCAGATGGATCAGAAAAGGCATCTTGCCTGCCACTTCCTTGCCATGGCACTGCTGTCAGAGAGATGGGGGAATCCCAGAAATAGTTTCATGTACTTTATGTCCAGTCCACCTAAATGATGGACAAAGACCAGCAAAGTTAGGTTCCAGTTCAGCACAACACGTCATTATTGAAGGGTCCCCTTTGCATATCAKAAACAAGATCTTTCATGATGTGAAGATTTTGGCTCATACTTCAACGTTAACAAGTGTGTCCTTATACCTTGGCAAGGTTCACAAGGAAGTGAGCAGCAAAGTGGTGCTGGAAAAAAAAAAGTGTCAATAACAAACTTGACAATTTGGAAGTACCCAGGAAGACACAGAAAGCACGCTTCAGAAGGCTGATTTCTCTCCCAGGTGGTATCTGCACGCAGACTGCAACTTGATCAAGGGGCACAGTTGGGCACGAAAAGAACCTGGAACCCAACCGCAGAAGCGAGGGACTTGTAAGCAGCAAGAATCACGGAAGCCACAGTGCAKGTCACTCTCTTGCGTGTGATCTCCATAACAGAGCATCAGCTGTTACTGCACATGGCTTGATTTTAGCATGCTGATTTAATATTTACAGAGTGCCAATAAAATTTTTATGATGACAGCTGGTGGCTCATGTGGTAATTTATAAACAGCAACAACACAACATGGACATCAGAAACTCCAAGAGGAGTTCCATATTATTTTTCAATATTCAACACAGAAGATTTTGGATATCTTTCAAATTTTGCAGACTTTTAATACTCTTTGCATAATACATCCATACATCCCAGTGGGTAAGACAAAGTCAATACTTGCCCTATGTTTGTTTTCTCCTTTAGGATGGACTTCGCCATAAAGACCTATCATTGTTAGAGGATCCCACATCAAATTTGTCTGGATTTCAATAAAAGTGTCGGGCAATTTCCATATTTAGAGACTTTAAAAGGTTTAATTGGGAAGTCAAGTACAGTTTCATGTTTTTCTTCCAGCACTGTGCCTACCCCATAGAAATATTAACAAATGGGAATTTTTCTGGGGATAACTGAGCCTCATAATATAATAGGCTATAATAGGCTTACTGCCCTTGCTCCAAAACTTGTATTGTCTCTGCAAATCCATGAATGGCAAAAAAAGAAAAATACTAGGTATCTGAAGAAGCTACTGATCAAAAGGCCATTATCAGAGCACCATTAAGACTTGCATATATCTGGTACTGAATAGCATGCTCCTTAGTATGATAGAGTAGCATCATATCAAACCTTTTCTTTTCTATACATGTTTATTATCCATGTCAGTGGAGAGTTTTCACAAACCATCTATTATGTCTTACACATACAAAAATTGGTATATGAAATATGTTACAGAGGCAGAGGTTGGCTTTTGTTACAACCTTTCCAGTAATTCCTTGCCTATGTCTTTATCAGCCCTGTCAGATAATAAAATACCTATTTTCAGTGTTATCTGTTCTTAGACATACACCTAAGTTGTTGGGGCACCGCTAGGTTTACTCAAAATATTCTTTACGCTCTTTACAGACAGTTCCCTATTCTTTTAGGAAGCAGTATTCACAAGTCAGAACAATTTTACTTTGAAATGTTAACACTAACCCTGTGGAAAATTCCAGGAACTGAAAAAAATCAGAGCAAAGTCAACAAAAAATCTCAACAAAAGCTTAAAATCCACCTGAAATCTAAGCCTACTTTACATTTGCAGTACTTGCTTTTAAGAATAATCATAATAATGGTATTTTTCAGAATTACTTCAGAATAATGAAATTTTTGGAAGAACTCATCTCTGTTAAAAACTATTTTTCTGTGGCAGAGCTAATCTTTAAAGCACCATTCTTTCGGCTTCCCTTTTAATTTATTATTGTGTAAGAAGAACGCTGCAGGGCAGGAGCCCATCAATTTAGCACGGGAACCATGCCACTCAAACAGATGGGGATACCTCTAGGTAGCCAAGAGATCATGTATGTGCATCAGCTTTGGGTGCTCAAGGCACGATTCCCAGCTGGGAGTGCTGAAACTGCTGTCCATTACAAGCTGCCTGCGGCGATCAGCCACCGCTAATCCCTCTCTGGACAGAATTAACTTTTAAAAATAAAATTTTGCTTTCACAGCCATAAAGGGGACTTCTGTGAGCTGCATCTGGAGACTAAGGCATTGACCTCATCTGTGGTGGTTCTGTTTAGATGTGGTGCTTCTGATAGAAAGTCACAAAGGGGCTCTAGGGAGAAGGCAAGAAGACTTTTCTTGATTTTTTTTTTTTTTTTTTAGGACTAAGTGCATCTTTCAGCATTCCACTAAGCTTTAATAGGTGAAAAAAAAAAAAAAAAAAAAAAAAAAAAGACATTCAAAAGGTGCTTAGCAAACAGTAGAATCGGAAAGAAATGTCCTTTCAGTTTTCCTCTTCTCCACTCCTCTCCTTTCCATAACTAATACTCCTGTAGGGGTTGCCAGAAAAGTGACAGCATGGAAGCCGTTCCATCATCTGTTCTGTTGCATACAACGTGCTTCCCTGCCCCCTGAACGCCAGTTTTTAACTACTTGTTCTACTCCTGAGCTGCTATAGCTTTGGAGGCAAGAAGCAAACGGTGAAAATCTGCGCTATGGGCCCCTGATTTACTGAGTGGAGGCTAGGAAGGTAAACAGCGCGTTCATGTGCCGTACCTGCAGTGGCCAGGGCTGTGCCACACGTTGCTCAGTGCATACCTAGTGCCCCCTGAGCACAAGCCGCCAGTAAGGTGCAGGTACAACCCTGCAGTGTGCGCGTGCAACGCTCCTCTACCACAAAGAGCATTCACCAATTATTTAACCACGCACCGCTACCACAACGCGGCGGTTACACTCCCTTTTGTCAGAAAAATAAAAATTCCCTTTCCCAACGGCCGCCGCAGCCCCAGGGCGACGCCCACACGCACCCGACAACCTCAACGGCCCCAACGTCCCCAACGGCCGCCGGGCGGGGCCGCGCGCCGCGCCCCGCCCCGCCC